TGGAAACTTTAAACTGTAATAAGAACATGGATCTTGCTTTCCTGAATACAGGATTTGTTAAACTCTCTCTTAGGCAAAAAAACAAGCCCACAGAAACAGGTTTTCCCTGTGTATTCATTGAGACGTAGGTGATAAACTGAAACATTGCCAAATTCCTTTCTACCTTCAAACAAGAAATCCATTATGTCCTGAGAAATAAATGTTGTATGAATATTTCTCCACTTGAGAACCGCACCATTATTCTGTGAAGCTTAGAAATACAAGAAAGAAAGAAAACCCCAACAGGAAATTGAATTTGCACCTTATTTGATGCATGGTGACAAAGCAGATCATTAGACTTTTCTGAATGAATAGCATTCACTTCTGCAAGCTGAGAGCCCATGCCCACAGGGTCTGCTTGTGTGGTTTTCTTTCTTTACTGTTGAAACAATTTTTTACTTAGCATCAACATGGAGTTACTTTACTCAGGGCCTGGTTTTTCAACTCTTGCTGACAATAACCCTATAGAAATCCTACATAATGCTCAGTAGGATCAAATCCTACTGCCATTCACTGTGACAAAATCCGATCTCTTCATTTTCATCATCTCCGTTAAAGCTTGGAAGTGACTCTGCTTAAGAATGATCCTGGGCCCTTGGAGACCACAGGTAATTGGATTGCTCTTGAGCAGCTATGTTTTATTGTAATAGCCCACACTCGTCTACACAGACCCTACACGGAGCCTGTAGCTTTGAGAGCAGACAGCAGTGCTGATGGGTATCTCCAATCCTTTTGTGCTCAGGCTGCAAAATAGTAGCTCCTGATAGTAACTGAAGAGAGGACAAAGCTGGCAGGTTGGTGAATTCTGTACAGTAGGAGGCAGAAGTGTATTCCAGCTTATTCCATTCACAGGAGAGGCAGGATCATGTGTTTGGAATATGGAATTCTTTGATATGCAGACACTGTGAAAAATCTGAGCTCCTTCAGGAGGTTTTGAAGATGAGGATTTTCTTTTTTTATTTAAAGAAAAATGCTGAGTGTTTTATCACTATGCTAATGGTACCTCGGGGAATATAAATGCTCCCCAGCATCTCCTCCTTCAGAAGGCAGGTACTGGTCACATACAATGGGCTTTCTTCCATTGTACTGAACAGGAAAGGTCTTGGGGAATTGGTCTTCTGTAGGCTATTTGCACGTGGTGGATGCTTACAGAGTACCCCTTTTGTTTTGTCTTCTCAGACATGATTTGTGCATTGCTATTGGCTCTGCAATGTAATTCTTTCAAAGCTCTTTCCCATCAGTATAGAAAAAAAACCCAAAAGAACGTAATTTGGTGCTTTGCATTCACTGTCATTATTTAGGTATTGGTTTTTCTTTGATGACATGAGATTTGTATCACAACAAATACTGTCACACTATTAGGATTTATTGTATGTATGTAGCCATCATAGCTGGTTTCAGTGCCTCTGCTGTTTGTGGCATGAACAATGTTGGGCAGATGGTCTTTCTTTTTAATGAAAACAGTCACAATTCATCTGTCTTTGGTATTTCTACAGTGGTCATAAATTTGTGCTAAGGCAGTATATTTAAGCTTGAGGGGACTTACTGTCAGAACCATGACTTCTGCACAGTTGCAAAAAGGAGGGAAAGAAACAAGCTGTTTAAAAGAAGCTTTTTCATTGCCTTCCTTTCTTGCACACCGCATTGTACACCAAGTGTGGATACAGAGTTCCTCCTTTCTGATTTGGCCTCTGACTCAAAGTAAAAGCAGCCGACAGGAACAGTGTTTTTCCAACCATGGGTGTTAACAGTCTGGATAACCCTTGTTTTGTCCATGTAGCTCAAAGCTGTGATTAGTGATAGGAATACATGGTATAAATTGACTGCAAAAATCTCTTGTAATGTGGGTCTGCCAGGGCTCATCTTTAGTCCTTGCAGATTGGTGTGTGCTTCCTGCTGTGAGTAAGGCAAAGATGATGAACCTGCTGGTGGTTCACATCAGCAGCAGTTCTGACTGTGCCTGAAATCATGACTTCCCAGTATGAGGGAATTTAACTTGTTCTGGGTTATTGACAGGAAACAAAAAAAAGAGAAATTGAATGGAAAGGAAACTTCATGAAGGAAAGGGCAATGGAGGGAGCTTCTTGTTAATAACAGTAATTACTGGTTTTAAAAGACTTGCCAAATAACTTTATTCCCCATTTTCACTGCTAGGCTTGAATCCTTGTGGCCATGCAAAAGGGATAGAGCTTAATAATTGTGAATGCATGAGTGCTTTCATTCAAAGTTTGTAGGGTTTTTCTGCAAGCAATGATCTGCCCAAACCTCTGTGATATGTTGAAGCTGGATTTCCAAAAGCTAGTATGGAGATTGCATTGAAAGTTACCTTTGGTCATCCTACCTTATTAGCCCCATTGCTAGGCAGGGAAAGAGGGTCCTAATGACTAAGTGAGATTTCAAAAGGTGACTCATTAGTAGAACTGGGGACCATGGTAAAAAGAGGGCTCCTATGTGCCTCTTCTGAGGGAGATCCAGCAGCCTGCTGAGCTTCAGCTTGAAGCTGAAATGTATATAGACCTGGACATTAAAGCTGCCAGCTAAATTACAACTGTTATTTAAATAATCACATAGACATATGAATACTCCATGGCTCTTTATGAAATTTAGCAGCTTCTGAAGCATTTAGTACTGACCACTCAGTGACAATACTCCAGTTCATACCCTGTAACCACAGGATCTAACAGTTCAAATACCGATGTAGCTCTTAGCCATTCTCAGTGACTCCATGTAATCAGTAGAATTCTCAATTAGTCTATAATTTAATTGTAAGGAATCCACCCAATTTAACTTAGAAAAACAAACCTATTGTAAATAGGCTTAGGCTTCACCTCTGTACCTCCAGAGGTGGAAGATGACTGGGTGGTCCCCAGCTCAGGAAGAGTATAAGGTGATGTGGTATAGAGGTTACAGTAGTTTCTGCCTAACAGCAACATGATATTGTACATGATGTGTTTGAAAATAATACTTTAAACAAAGTGAAGAACAGTAGAAAAAACAGAGGAATGAAAGACGTTTTTTTCTGGAGGTGTACCTGAAAACCAGCTTGGAGCATTTTGCAGCAGTATAATAGAACCTTAACAAATAGTTCTCTGTAGTTAAGTCACTACTGATTGAGGTCTGGCTGTTTAATGCCACTATGAAATATAATTTGTTTGCATGCGGGATATTAACACTGTTCTATGCAGAAATGTGAAACCAGGAAAATGTTAGTACCGATATTGCTTTGATTCTAAGGTGCAATTTAGTGCATTCTGGTTATTGTTCTATTAATTACTATTGCAGTAACAGCCCTTAGACCTCTGGGGTTTGGCAACAGGCGAACAGAGAATTTGCAATCCCTGCCCCAAACACTATGCAATTTTAATTTTCTAGGCAGGCATTTAATAAGATAGTAGCCTGTTTTAACAGGGGAGAGAATGGATGTTGTGTACAGTGTCTTCCTTGGAATTTATGGCAGAGATTAACTGAACCCAGTTCCACTGATAGTCTTTCTGTATTTCATCTTTTAGTACTTCAAGGACCGTGTACCTGCAGGACCTTCAATGCTGCTTATTTATTTTGCCTTAATAATCAGAATTTCCAATAATTGATATTTCTGATATTTGATCTGAATGTACTTCAGTGTTATGAAGAGGGATGAGATGCTATTACTTGGACAGTTAGAGTTAAGCTAGCATCCTAGGCTGCTGTGAAGAGAAGTTTCTTGTACTGAATTGCACAGATACAGCAATGTACAGATGAGAGCAGTAGGAGTGGCTGAAACCAAAATGCCTTGGAGCAGACATATATATATATTTGTTTAATAATTAATCTAGCAGCTCTTATTTATGCTTTTTTGCTGAGATGAATAAAGGGTTTTTAAAGCTCATGTGAAGCAGGTAGTATTTTTGGAGCAACTGTGGGACATTACTGGGTCACTCAAGTCCTTTACTCAATCTAAGCTAAGGCTGAAGTGTGACATTCAGTCTCCATCTCCCATGGCACTTTTTCTTCATAGGCATTGGCTGTTGTAGGATGGATTGCTCTTTGTCTCCTGCTTGGACCAGAAACACCAATGTAGCACAATGAATATTGTCCTAAAGTAAACCAGGCACCTGCTTCTGGTGTGTTTGGCTTTGCATGAATAAATATTTAACAGTGGAAAAAGTGCCAAGCCACAGAAATCCTTGACTGGTCCTTCACCCTTTTACTGATACAATTCGTTTTCCTTATGAAGCTGTACATGGCCACAGATCTATATCCAAATATTTGAGTTGTTTAACTAATACATTAAGTACAGGGAGTACAGTATATAAAAGACTAACACAAGACAATTGAAGATTGGCACTCAAAGGTAATAGTAGTTCTTAGGATATTAGTTTAGTCAGAATATGGGTGGGGAATACTCTTCCTTTATTCAGTGTCCAATATGATGTTGTGTAGCTTGGGTGCATATATCACGAAGTGTATATAGTGGACATGTGGGCTAGGTTTTTAATGCCTAATTGTCTCTTCACAGCAGCTTTCTCCCAGTATTTATGTCTAAATTAATACTGCAAAGTCACCCTGAACATTTCAAAGATCATACATTTTAAAGCAAAACATAAAGTATTGATGTAGCAGTGGTCACGTACCTCAGTGTTATCTGAGGGCTGGAGGACTTCATCCAAACCATAAATATTTCTAAAATATTTACTGTTTCAAAAAGAATCAGCACCTCTACAGCTTCTTAAAGAACATGGTTGCAGGAAAAATGTATGCTAGTAAAAACTGTTCTATTTATAGAATCTTATCCTCTGCTCATCTCCAGTCCTAGAGCAAGATTGCACTGGTACAAATAACTGATGATAACATGATTAACTGAATGATAGAAGGAAGCAAGACCACCAGGGTCATCTCATTTGTCAGCAACACAGACTAGTGCTGACATCCTTCCTAGATATATTTCTCTAATCTCTCTTTGTGGTTGTTTTCTCTTCCAGTGTGTGGCTGTGACTTGGCACAAGGAGGCTTTTTCATTAAGAACGGGGAGTATCTTTGCACCTTGGATTACCAGCGCATGTATGGTACCCGCTGCAATGGCTGTGGGGAGTTTGTGGAGGGTGAAGTAGTGACAGCTCTGGGAAAAACATACCACCCAAGCTGCTTTGCCTGCACTGTTTGCAAGTAAGTCACCCCTTTCAACTAACTTGGTGTGAACCCCGTATAAGGAAAACAGGCAGAAAGGTGTCACCACGAGACTCAAGTGTCACGACATAGTTCTTTTGGGGAGATGCTTGGTTGGAAAAGCTCTGCTGCAAGTCTGACTTCGAGGGTTTTCAAAATGCCACTCATTTATCTGGGGGAAACATGCAGTTCCCTGTTCTCAGAAATTTAATTCTTTGACATGTGAGAGTAACTATCAGGCTAACATGTTAATAGAGGTGATGGACATGGGTTGAGTTGAGTTTGGGTGATGAGCCCAGCTTGATGGGTGAAGTAAAGCCAATTTTGGGATGTAGCCATAGAGAACTCATTTGGGTTATAAGAACAGTTAAAGAATTGAAAATGTACTGTAGACTCATTTTGACATCATGTAAGAATGCATGGCTCTGGGACAAGTCCAGTCCCCCTCTTCTCCCCAAATACTATTTCTTGTCCCCAGGAAGAGAACCAGTCTTCATTTCTACACGGATTAAAGATAAGTTTGCTGAGGCTGTGTGAATAGGACAAAAGGGGCAGTTTAACTTGCATTTCTGTTTAAACGCTCACTAAGATATTCAGCTTTTAGGAGACTGCTGGGCAAATCTTCCACATGCTGTCATAGCCTGATCATTTGAGCAGTTTTATACATGAAAAATCTCAGCTGAGCTTTACAGCCTAAACTCAACCCAAAGCCTCTGTGCATAGTGTTCTGTTAGCTGGCGCTAGGCACTGAGATTGTGCTACAGTTTAGGCTGGTTTAGTTTGTGTAATGCCTGAAGGACACATAAGAAGCAAAAGATAGAGATGTAGGTAGATTTCACAGAGAGGGAAGACCCAAAAGACAGGGCCTGTTCCCTTCTAGTCTTGGAGGGCAACTGGATGGTGATGTTCTCCAGAAGTCTGAACCTGGCAGCAGTTGAATCGTCTGAAACTTAATGCAGGAGGATCACATGAACAAGAAAGTCAAGAGTCTGCATTCTGGGGCAGTAAATTCTTGGAGATCCCATCATATGATGTGTCTGAGTCTTAGTGCAGCAGACTTGCCAGCTGCTGCCCTAGCCTTCCATACCTATCTCTGATGAGCAGTTTAAGTACTTCATCATATAGCCTGGTATATTTTCCAAGACCTTTACTCTTGAAAGTATCTTGATCGTTTTTCCATTTGGTTTTAAACAGTGTGTGAATTTACTGCATGTTGATAATCAAATGATGTGTACATTTCAGTTTTATTTCCCAAGGACAGTGTGAAAGTAGATGATGCTGTACGAAACATTGCATCCATTTTCTGTACATTGACTTGCATCAATCTGTCTATGCCAAATGAACAAAAGATGAGTCATTGGAATAAATTCATGACATGCAGTATTGCTGCTGGGTTATTTATGGCCCACTGAGGGATGGCAATGAAAAGGAAACTAAAACAATGGCTTAAACATTTTGTTTTGTGGAAGCAAGCAGATGCTTATTTTAAGCACAGTTTTGGAGTGAGGTGACGTTAGGAGAGCCTGTATTAAGCAGCTACAGGTTTGGAGTTACTGAACCTTTTAATTTCAGTGAAAGCCTCGTACAAAATGTTGTTCATTCTCTATTTTATACACCAAGTAAAAGTTAACAGCAATGTCAGCTTCTGCCTAACACATATTTTGTTGCATTCAGCAAATAATCTCAAGCTTCCACAGCACATTCAGCCTTTGCCTTTCTCCTAACACTATCTGCACAGGTAGCAATTACAGTGGTAGTTCTGTAATGTAGATACCTATTTTAAATCTCTAGGAGAATGAATGTGGATAGCATTCCATTTCTTTTGCAAACGGCTGCATCCGCAGTAACATATGTTTCGTTGCTGAACACAGATGAAATTAGTGCATTTATGAGTGACTAGCTCCACATTCCTTCACTAGCCTCAAGGCCAATTGCGGTTCTTCCTTTGAGATCTCTTCTGTACAATTTGCTATCCACAACATCACGCTGAGACCATAATAAGTGTATCTGTTGTGACTAAGTGGATTTCACTGTCACCTACTCTATAGATAAAGTGTGCTTGATAGCTTTTTAAACCAAAATACATGGTGAGTCTAACCCCTGCTCTGCTTGCATCCTCGGATTGGATTTCTTCCAGTGCCTGGCTTTGCCAAGGCCACTTTGCAAAACTATTTGGCCCGAGGTTCTGTAGAATACTGATTGCAGTGGGGGAAGGCAGCAAACTCAAGACACAGGAAGAGAGGAAAATTTCTGGCATAACCTTTGCTAAAATACATTGTTCTCTTTAACTCTCCAGGCGTCCATTTCCACCAGGCGATCGGGTTACCTTTAATGGAAGGGACTGTCTTTGTCAGATGTGTGCTCAGCCAATGTCCTCCAGTCCAAAAGAACTGTCTGCCTCAAGCAGTAAGTATGCTTCTCTCTGATGCCTCTCACCAGGCTCCTCAGCATTTGGTTGAAGCTAACTTAAGGCAATCTTTTGGGTGTTCTAATTTTTTCTTCACCTCTAGAAATGTGAAACAACTTTGGAAACCATCCTTTCTTTCTTTTTCTTTCTTTCCTTTTTGTGTCCTTTGATAAAAGTGTCAGGTACTTCAGGTGAGAAGAGACACTTAGACATTGCAATATGAACAAATGGGTTTTTGTCAGTGACCAGATTTTTAAAAAGGGACTATTTGTGTCTTATAGGCACTGGAAAAGTACCTGATTGATGAAATCTGAGGTTTCAGAGTTGAGAGATTCCATTTTTTCATATATAATTGTGCAGGTTTAAGTATTCAGAAGAAGACAAAGTCAGAGGAAATTAATTTTCTTCTACTACTTAATGCCTGAATTCAATTAAATTATCCTTTAAAAGGAGTATCAAGATTATGCTTCCAGTAGACTGATAGCACAATGATACTCTGAGCAGAATCTCAAGAAACCTTTATAGAAAAGAAAGCAATTTAAGGGGGAAAGAGAAAGAATGAAGAAGGTTTGGGAGGGAAATTATCTTGATTTGCTCTTGAGTTTTAATGCTTTTAAAGGATAATGTGTGAATTATTGATATTAATCTCTGCTTGTAGTTATTTTGGTGGATTTCTGATTCTTTCTCTGGTTGATGGGTTGTACTGAGCACTTTAATCTGTAATGACTCACCTAGTGAGTTTTGTAATTGAAAATGGCTATAGATCTCCTTGTGATATGAGGTAGTTTTCCACTCATGCTGGTTTCCCTCAGGGAGACACTGTGTATTGGCACTTGGCTTTGGGCTCCCAGGGTTACAAAGTGCAATGTAAAGGCAAAGCTGGATAATATTTATGCTCAGTGGATGAGTCCAGGGAATCTCAGGTTGTCTGATTTGCCTGAAAGCATGTAATCGGACACTTAGCAAAATGGAAAATGAGATGGCTTTTTTGTTACCCTGTTTTTCTGCCTGTTAAGTGAAACTTTTCCACTGTAGCTGTAGATTTGGAGCTGAAAATGCACAGGCCTAATCAGCTAAGGAAAAATTTAGGAATCTGAAAAAAAACCCTTACAAGACTTACATACCAACGTAGAAATGTCTGAGGTACTTCAGGCACTCAGGGAATCCTTCCAAGGTGAAAGGAATGATGTGGAAATTGCATTGGAATTCCTGGTATTTAGGAGGCATAATTGGCTATGAACTTCAAGGCACACGGACCTTGGACAGTACTGATGTTCTTTTTCTAGGCATGTCGTAGCAGTGTTCCCAAATGACTGGTATTCAGGGACAGAAGTATCTGGATAACACTACATCTGGTTTTCACTTGTCCAGCAGCGTGGCCACTTCCAGGATACAGGACCCCAGGTGCCAAAATGCCCCCAGGCAAATGATAGGCTCAAATTGTCTGATAGTTAGCAAGTGAAAGAGCTGCAGTCACTTCCTGAGAACCAGTACTTATCTGCTTGAATTGTAGTCTCTGCTTGAATTGCTTCTGGGGTACCACACTGAAGCCATAGGTAGCAAGGATTATAAAACAATATTCCCCACTGCTTGTGCTGAGATTTACTGTTTTCTTCGTTTTTTAATCAAAATTGGGTCCTGCTGGGCAAACTGCCTTACTGGTATACACAGCAAGAGAGCTGCTCTTAACAGTTCAGAGTGCACTGCTTCAATATCCACAAGTACCTGCTACAGTTATTTTTATGGACAAAGACTTGTAGAAAAATATAGTATAGAGTTTCTGGTCACTTTAGAGCAAAACTCTCCAAAATAAAGAAATAAAAGTGAGAACAGTGTGTGTTTATAAGCTCCATTAAAAGGATGCTAATGAAGTGTCCTCTTGTCTTCAAAGTTATGCCAGTTCCTGCTTTAGCTTTGGGCAGTAGTTGACTTAGACACGGAGAAGCCTTTCTTGCTGGCACTGAAGAGTAAATCTTAGTGTAAGCTGCTGAACCTTGCTTCCACATCTCTCCTGCTGCTGAATCACACACATCTATTTTTTTTACTAATGTTTTGCTCTTTTTTGAAAGTATTTTTTTTTGTTAATACACATCGTTTTAGAACAGAACCTCATCCATGCAATGCGTCTATTTTATATCCTATATTGCTGTCACTTTCCCCTGCTTGCTTCCAAGTAGATTACTGGAGGAAGCTTTCCTTATAACACAGGAAGTGAGGGAAATTCAGTAGACTGAAAGTCTGTCAGGTTTGATTGGCTTATGTAATGTAAAAGGAAGCCTTCCATCCACTAGGATGTCTGCATTAATGTTGACATGCTGTTTTCTGACGTCTGTTACTTCACATAAATAAAAGGCTTATTGACATCCAAGCTTTTCTTGGGTGGTTTCAAGGGAAATCAAATGCCTCTAAATACAGGGGTTAACATCTGGAATAACATGAGCTGTTACACTCTTGTGTCGTGCACACCAGTGAGGATCAGAAGGAAGAATACTGAATAATTACCTTTACTTTCTCATTTAATCAGAATCACAGAACAGTTAGGTTTGGAAAGGACCTAAAGATCATCCAGTTCCAACCCCCCTGCCACGGGCAGGGACACCTCACACTAAACCATGCCACCCAAGGCCTCGTCTAACCTGGCCTTGAACACTGCCAGGGATGGAGCATCCACAGCTTACCTGGGCAACCCATTCCAGTTCCTCACCACCCTTACAGTAAATAATAGCAGCTGGGCCCATGGTACTTATTTATCTTTGCACTGATAATCTGTTTCTTCCACTGCACATGTATTGCCTGGAATAGTAATAGCTATTTTCTTGAGGAGCCATTTCAGTGATTCTTTAAGTTTCTAAGACAATCTTCAATATACAGATGCTGTAAAGTAACCATAATTCATGATTTAGTCAACCCTGTTCCTTAGGCTCTGCTTGATGTACACAGTGCACAAACTTTGAGATTTTCTTTCATTCAGCAGGAAATCTAACACCAAATACCTTTAAATACCTTTGCAAACAAATTAAATGAGTGGTGTTTGGTTTTGTTACTGTCTTATTTTGTATGGCAGGTTGCTGAATGAGATGATCTGTAAAGCAAAGTGCCTGGGACAGATGTAGAGCAGCACAGAAGCAGGGGACAACTAGACAACACTGACTATAAGTGTGATGTTGATGGCTTGGCTATTCCAGTTTTTTCAGGATTCTGCCAAGGAAGATTTGTGTGATTTTAACTTGTATGAGGAGAAATTCAAGAACCTAAAGTCTAAGTCCTTATTCTTCATCCATGTTAGGGTTCGGTGCCTTTGAAAGAGTAGTGTGAGCATTATGTCTTTCCAGCTCACAGCATCTCAGCCTATTTTATTTCACTGGCTGAGTTAGAGTGACTGAGGATACACACTCTCTGGATTTCTATTAGCATTAGTGTGAGAAGCAGAGGCAAGTAGATTGGCCACATTAACAGGCTTATCCTCTTTGATTCTTCTCCCTTAGAGGATTCTATCAGTGAATTCTTACCAAGGCACCTGACGAGTGAACTGATGCAGGCATTTGAATATAAAAATCCCTAGTTTTAGTTTAGCTTCATTTATAAAAAGTGCCACACTGGCTTGCATTTTTTCTTGAATGCACAAGAGAAATGAAAAGTACAGCTGGGAGCAGAGCAGCTGTCGAGAGATCATAGAGTCACAGAATAGTTTGGGTTGGAAGGGACCTTAAAGCTCATCCAGTTCAAACGCCCTGCCATGGGCAGGGGCACCTTCCACTAGAGCAGGCTGCTCCAAGCCCCATCCAACCTGGCCTTGAGCACTGCCAGGGATGGGGCAGGGATCCCCCACACTCTGAGTATGAGGCGATGTGCTGATGGAATTCCAACCAGCAGCCTTCTGGCTCCAGGGTCATCTTTGAAGTGCAGAAGAGACTACATGTCTTTGAACATAGTTTAATACATTTCTCTCTTCCTCAAACAGAGATTTTTCCCTTAGGCATTCCATTTCACTATTTCCACGGTAAAGCATTTCAATGAGAAGAGTATTATATTATTTCTTTACCTGAGGTTGAGCCCTTTGTCTGTTGGTTCCTTGTCTGTGAGGTTTTAGTTATTTCTGGTTGCCTTTTTGCTGACAGGTTGGATCACTTTAGTGATGTGCATGAACTAATTATGAAATTGTGTTTCAAATGAAAAGTGGGATTTCTAGATAGGAAAAAAGCTCCTTATCCCAAAGAAACTGAAGTGTTGCAATCACCTAGCAAGAGCTTTCACTTAGAAAAATCATCTTCATTTGAAACTATGGCAGAGGCATAGCAGTTTCCTTTTCTTTAGTGCAATAGAGGCTTGTGTCCTACATATGCCAAGATACGCAGTGATGATCCTGTTTGGAAAGAATCACAGGCAAGATATTCCAACTCCCTTTTCTTTGTAGCGGTCTCTCCTGTGTGTTATGAGCATCACAGTAGAGCCAAGAGGTGGATCGGGGTTTTTCAGTGTTTCATGTGCATAAATAATCTGTGGTGCAGCTGCTCCCTGACCAGACGGCATCCACGTGGAGGTTTCACAATCCTGTTTTGTATGCTTGCCCTTGTCTGGTTTGCACATTATGTTCTGGTTCAAAGAATGTAAGTTCTCTAGGACAAATGCTTTCATGCCTATCAGTACAGAGCCGACCAGGGCTGGATCCTGGCTCGCAATTGGGGATCTCAGCTCTATTGTGATATAAATAATAAGCTTAATGCTTAATGAACTTGTGGGAGAAAGATATCGTTGTTAATTATTCAATAGCCTTATCTCTTAAATTAGATGCAGTCAGTAAAGCTCCCAGTAAAGATTCGAAACTTCCAGCAGGGTCTCTGGTAATGCTGAGGTAGAGCAGAACCAACATACTTAACCTGTTGGAAAAGGTGGGAAGCTAGAAATGGGAATCATCTTTTGCCTCACCACCCAGAAAGTGGGAGGAACGTGAGGTTGTTCTTGAAACAATAAAGCACCAGAATAGAGAAGCACCAGATTT